ACGGCCGCACATCGGTTCAAGTTAAATTCTGCCATTAACTGAGTTACGAAAGCTTTTGGGCTCCAGGGAGCCTTGGCATTTGGGAACTGGAGATAAGAAATCTTGAGTGAGTCTGTACCCCTCTGGTTTCGTGGTTGAGCAAAGTTAGGCTCGGCGTGAGCGAGTTGGTCCAAAGCCGGCAGACACTGCTGCTCCGTCGAGCCGAGACGTAAGGCTCAGGGGGTCTCCCAGCGTCCAGGCTTTTGGCCGGCGGGAGTAACCCCTGCCCCCCCGCCCCGTCTCCCCACTCCCGGCTCCCGGTGGCGTACCTGCTCCGGCCGCTGCTCCGTCGGCGGGCCGCGCACGTTCCGGATGGCCTCGTAGACGTTCTCGGAGTCGCTGCGCGCCAGGGGCCGCGGGCACACCCACGAGCCGGCCACGCTGCAGGCCTTGAAGCCGCCCCCGCTCCCGAGGAGGCCGGCAGGGGGCGCAGCGGTGCGGGCCAGGTCGTCCAAGGACTGCGCGGGCCTCACGGGCGCCGCGGGCCGCGTGTACAGGCAGGCTGGCGAGCCGGGCGCCAGGCTTCGACGCTGGGTGGCCGCGCCCGGTCGAGCTCGGCCGCACAGGGAGCCCGCGCGGTCCCGGGGCTCGGCTGGGGCGCCGTCGGGTTCGGCGGGCGCCGACGCGCTCACGAAGCGGTAGTCGTAGGCGAGCGGTTCGGGAGCTGCGGGGCCCTGGAGGGGCGCGGGCGGCGGCGGGGCGGGCGCGGGGTGGCCGAGGGCCGGCAGCTCGCGCACGTATTGCGCCGGCAGGTAGAAGGGGCGGCCGCCCGGCTCGCTCCGCACGTGCCACCAGTGCTCGGTGCTGCGGCGCAGCAGTCGGTAGCGCTCGTTGGGCTGGATGGCGACGCGGCGCCCGTCCTTGCCCGTGTACTCGAAGGGATGCTCCACCAGCACGTACACGTCCCCCTCGACGTCCGCCGCCATCGCGGCCGCCGCGTGTCCCTGTGGGCGACGAGGAGGAGGGGCGCGGAGGTCAGGGCCGCCCAGAGGGCCGCGCTCCGCAGGGGAGCCCGAAGACTTCGAGTCCCGAAGCTACAATCGTTGTGTACGTTCGGGCCTCGGTTTTCCTATCTCGAAAACGCGGGGCTTGGATGAAATAATTTCCACGGTTCTAATTCTTACACGCAGCGATGGAATGAAGACAGCCCTTTTACTCTGCGGCCTGGAGTATAAAATTCTATCCCTCGGTGGGGAGATGGTGGCTAACACCGGTCCGGCTTTAAAGCCAGGGAAGCTTTAAGGCTAGTTGGGGGGTACTGCCCGCGATAAAGTTGACATCACGTGTGCATAAAAACCGACTGGGCCTCAGTTCCCGCATTTGTAAAGTGGGAAAATAGCCTATACCTCCATCCCGCCCTGTCCCGACACTTCCAGGAGCCCTCAGGGAATCGCGTCCTCGGCAACTCCTATCGCCCCAGCCACGCACCGCGGCGCGTGCGCCCCAGGCCCGAGGGAGACAGAGTTGGGGCGCAGGTTCTGGGAGCGGCCCCCACTTCGCTCTACTCTGGGAGTGTCCCTGCCCTGCGTAGTCCAAGGGCCTTGGCATAAGGGGCCGCGACTGCCAAGGCCGGGGAAACCGGTTCTCTTGGTTTCTCTTTCCTTCCCCAGCGGCTTAGCCACAAACGTGACCCCGGAGCCCCGCCCGTCCAGACCGACCAGCACCGCCCCCTGTGCTCCCACCTCCACGTCCCACCTCCACGTCCAGAGAGAGGCTTGGCCCTCGCGGCCTGCCCCCTGCCCGCGATCTCTATATTGCCCCACGAGAGTGGCCCCTAGAGAATACACTCTTTGATACTGACTATCCGTGCGGTGTACCCAAGGGACCTCCTAAATTCTCCTGGAGTGAACACCACAACCCACTCTCCTGGTGTGTCGGGGGAGCGGCGGTCACAGCCCAACTGGAAGCCCGTCTATGAGGCTGGTCCCTCCAAGCCTTTACATCGGCCACACCGACTGCCCCACGATGGTGACCTGGGACCAGCAGGTGCGGGTGGGAGCTCGGCCTCTGGTTGAGTCTGAGGGACCCGAGGCACAGGGTCTGGCCGCGGGGCGCCTAGCGCTCCTTCTCTACTTTTTCAAGCTTTCCTCGACGGGGAAGGAGTGTAAACTGAGCCACTGAGCACTCTGGGCCCTGGAAGCGGGGTCCTTGAGCTGACTGGAGCTAAGCCAACCAAGCTTAGGGAGGACACCCTTCTCGCCACCTTCCCCCGGAGCCCCTGCCGCTCACTCACGTCGGCAGGGCTGGCCTCGCGGAGCCCATGGGCGGGCTGGGTGGAGCCGGCGGATGGATGCAGGTTAGGGCCCTGCCATCTCCTTGGGCGGGGTTTTCAGACGGCTTGGCTGGAGAGACTTCAGGGAGCTGGAGCTGGCAAAGAGAGCAAAGAAGGTGAGCGAGGCTCGGAAGGACCGCCTTCAATTCCCGAAGCGGCGGTGTCTGGGAGGGGCGAGGCGGGGCCTGAAGAAATCCGCCTGGGCCGGTGGGGCCTTGGAGGCGGGACCTGAGCAGGAGAAGGCCTGAGGGAGGGGCAGGGGCAGGGAGGGCTGCGGCCGAAGGGGCACGGAAGGTTCACGAGTGGAGCCAAGGGAGGGTAGGGTCCGGCCCCCGCCGCGCCCCACCCCCACGCTCGGGATACGGCTTCCAGGAGGCTCTGCGTCCCGCCGACGCGATGCTTCAGGACTGCTCGCCCGGCTTGCGGTCTAGCCGGAGCGTCCCCAGTCCTAGCAAGGTTATTTGCATCCTGAACCACCCGGATTGCAGGCACTGCCGCTCCGGTCCCATCCTCGTCCTCCCCAGAGCCTTTCCGGACTCAGCTCGGCCAGGCCTGGAAAAACTTGGAGCGGGGTTCCCACTGCAGAGACGCTCCCCGGAGCGCGTGGTCACTGGCTGGGTGGGGAGGGGACCCGGTCCTCGGCTCCTTCCCCGGTCCTGGGGGGAGCGAAGAGGAGAGGGATCGGGGGAGAGGGGAGGGTCCCTGGAGCGCGAGGACCGACTCTTCACCAGGAGGTGCCCTGCGTCCACGGCTTGGGAGACAGACAAGAGTCACAGCGGCACCCACGCCTGGGTCGTCGCAGGGGGCCTGGACCTGGGCCCCTCCTGCCCCAGGACGGCGGGCAGCCCTTCGCTTCCCACCTCCTCCCGAGCAAGGGGAAGATCCGTCCCGAACCGCCCTCCTTCCAAGACCGCGCAGCTCCCGCTTCTGCGCGGTGCTGCCGGGTGAGGACCCCGCCACCTGCAGTCCTCCTCCCCACCCCAGATCAGCACCGCCAACCAGTCCGGCCCGGCCCAGGCACCTCGGGGTGTCCGCTCGCTGGCCTCGCCTCCACTTGTCCTGGCAGGCGCGCGGGGGGCTCGGCGTCCGGTGCTCCCTCGTCCACAGCCCAGCTCCCGCGCTGCCCTGTTTCCTGTTCAACAATATAGCGAGGGAGGCACCGGCGGAGAGCACCCGGCAGAACTTCCTCCCGGGGCTGGGGCTGCGGCTGCGAGAGACAATCCCCGGTGTCCTGGCTTCCTGTCCTCTCTGGGACGGGCCAGCGCCCGAGGAGCGCAGACGCCACCCCCTTCCCCTGCACCTCCCGGGGATCCTGGGCCACACCTGGCTGTCTCCTGGAGGAAGGCAGCCGAGCCTGGACGGTGGGATGAGCGGGGAGGAAGCCGGGCCAGATTTCCCTCCACTGCTGCTCTACTCCATCCCCTTTCCCCCACCCCTGGCCTTGATCCTTGCGGGGGAGGAGCCCCCACACCCCCGGCCAATCCGTCAAAGCTCAGGGCAACCTCCTGGGGTTGTACTCAAGATGCTCACCTTATCTCTGCATCTCAGTTTGCTGTCCTGTAAACTGGGGACAGTAACACCTACTTCATAGGATTGTTGTTGTTGTTGCTGTAGGTTGCGACTCTCTGTGACCCCATGGACTGCAGCAGGTCAGGCTAATGTATTGTTATCATCACGTTGTAAGAACACACATCTGAAGAGTTATTATTATCACTAGTTTTACTATGAGATGACCCCTCCTCTTTGGGGTTGAACTGGGGTCTCCAAACTCCTCATCTGCCATCCTCCTTTAGGCAGGAGGGGGAAGGGAGAAACAAGTATTCTCAGAAACAGCTTGCTAAGGATGGACGACTGAGTCCAAAGGCAGCACGTAGGCCGTGTGCTCTTCTGGGCCCAGCCTCTTCCCACCAGGTCCCTCAGGGCTCCTCAGAGCCCACCACCTCCTGCCCTCGAGGGAAGCTGGGGCTCCTGCAATGGGCAGAGTGCGCTCCCTCAAAGGCCGAAAGGCTGCCCCAAGGACAGGAAACTGCAGACATCAATCTTTCAGTCCCAAGTTCCTGCACCCTGATTTCCCTGGGAATTAGCCCGTTTCCTTCTTCTGTCTTTACAAGGGCAGCAGTGGGCTTCCTCCTGCAGGCCCTCCCCACCCCCAGACTTCTGCTGGAACTTCAGAGGAAAGCTGGCAGCCAAGGCCAGGTGGAGCCCTAAAACCATGAGCCCTGAATCCAGCCCTGCTCACAAGCCTTTCCTTCCGGAGCCTCTTCTCTCACCTTGGATGACCAATGGGGAACGGTTTCACAGGTTCCAGTGTCAGGGGTCTGTGCTTTGACATTTAAGGAACAGGAAAGAAGCCATCACAGTGGGATTCCAGGCATTCGCTTCAGTTACATGAGTATATGTGAATGAACCTCCCCAAAGGCCCTGAAATCCTACCCCATGGTGGGGTGGAGGGCTGACTGGGAAGAGAGGCCAGGTCGGGAGACAGACTGAAGAATTACTTCTACTATTCTCCGTGCTCACTCCTGGCACACAAGCCCCCTGCTTGCAAATGTTTACCTACAACCACCCCCCTCCAGCCCTCCCTTGTGCCCAGGGACTGAGAAAACAGTGGAGGCTATCAGACAGTATCTGAGCGCCTGTGGTCTCCCCAGTCAGTGACAGCTTTCAGATTCAGAAACCAGACCACAGATTAGAAACAGCAGGTCTTTACTGCAAAATCACTCAAAAGTCACATGGCCGCAGTTCCTCCGGTACATGGCAAAGCACTTCTCAGGGCCAGGGCCCTCTAGAAACAGGTTATTGCATAAAACGAAATTTTAAAAATAGTGTGGGCACTACTGAGGTTCATACCAGCTTTCCACTGGAGGTGAAGAGGGTGAATCAACTCATCTGAAAGTATCAGCAGCTTTTTGGTGGTAGGGAGGGGGGCGGTCAGCTTTAATGCTACTGATCCCAGAGAAGGTAGGGAGTGCGGTGTGCCAGCCCCCGCTGAACCAAAGTGGGCTTCTCCAGGGCCTCACTCCCGCTGCCGCCTAGGGATCTTCTGGGATACAGAATACACTAACAGGGCTGGGTTCAGGCAGTGCTGCCCACCCCAAGACCACCAATTATGGCTCTGATCAGGCTGTGTTTCTGGTGGAGCATTAATGCTGGCTGGGGGTGGGGGTGGGGCTAAGGATCCACTTTCTGGTTTAGGAGGCTGAGCACAGGTGTGCACCAGCTTCCGTGATGGGGACAAAGAAGCTATGTGACAGCCCCTTCCCTGACCCGCCCACCACCTCCTCCATTCTATTGCACAATTTATCCAGCTCCACAGGGCTGGGCAGGTGACTCAGCAGCCGAATCACCCCAAGGGAGAGGTGGGAGTGGGTTCGTCTCTTGACAGTGAAGGTGGATATCTACCTGAGGCCTCCAATCTCAGCTGAGCACAGATAAGATGGTCAGGGGGGTCCCAGGGCTGAGGCGGGCCTGCTGGGTCCAGAAGTGGGGGGAGGCAACAGAGAAATCATGCCCCCCCCACAAAGCCCCAGGGTCTAAATATCGCTTTGAAAACAATTTCAGGCTCCACCTGAAGACCCCCTCCAAAGGCAGTTGTGCTCCAGTGAAATGTTCCAATCTCTTGGCAGCAGCCCTCCTGGGTTAGTCCAGCAGAACTTTGTGAACTCATGGCTTCATAAACAGGCTGAGCATCCTTCCACGGGTGGCTTCTCCTGCATGTCCTTGCGTATCTCTGCAGCAGGGCTGGCGCTCTTCGTGGGAGGACGGTGGGGGGTTAGTGTGGACACAGCCTACTTCGGTCCCGGCGGGGTCCGTGAGGCAGGGGTGCATTCCTGAAATGTGTCTGCAGCAGCCCCCTGCCCATCTGGCTGCCAGTCAGGGGCAGGAGTGAGGAGGGCAGGGGGCTGAGGGGTGGGCTAGATGATGACGATCCTCCCCTGAACCAAGGAAGGCTCAAAGTGCTGACAGTGCTGGTTCCGAGTCATAGCCCTCCTCCATCGGGACCAAGATCCCAGGCTACAGGAGAGCCGCAGAAGGGGTGGGGGGTGGGTTTTGACACAGAGAAATTGACGGGCTTTTCAGGTGGAGGGGGGACCAGGGAGCAGATGGGGGTGGAGGGGAAAGATCGTGATCCTCAGGACTGGGCCCGCCTGGCCCACGGCAGTTTGGCACGTTGTACAGGAGCTGTCAGCAGCAAGCGCCCGGTGAGGGCGAAGGAAAGGCACCCGCCAGCTGGTGGGCTCTGTCCTGGGGGGCCTGTCCACCGGCCACCACCCACCTCCAAGCTGGGCCTGAGCGGTTTCTACACATCTGCTCAGGGTGAGAACCTGGATTTCTTGGGTGACTGGTGGAGGGTCAAGAATAAAAAAATATTTTCTGTCGAAATATGAAGGGAAAAAAAACCCACCTTAAAAAAACTAGACCTTTTAATCAGGAATGTGGAATTGAAAATGCTCCCCAAGTCTTGTTTCCACAGTGTTGAACAGCCCTCATGGAGATGCGGTGTCAGTGAGGGGAGCCGGGCCAATTAGTGCAAAGCCCCCCCTCTGCCCACACCCTCGGACAGGGGGCACCTGCTGGTGTCCGCACCTCCTGGAGCAGGTGGGTGGGGGGCAGGAGGTGTCATCAGGGGCTCCCGGGGCTCCCTCTCGTAGGCCAGTGCTCTGGTCTCATCCGAGAGTTTTCCTGGCTCTGTGACACCTTGAGAGTGTGGCCAGGCTGGTGGCCAACCCGGCTGGGATGGCTGAGCCCCGGGTCCCGGGTGGGGACAAGGGGCGGGATTAGGTGAGACTGCTCTGCTCCTGGTATTTGCGCCGGCGGGCACAGCGGGGGCAGCCCTTCTTGACCACGGCCTGGCAGGTCTGGTGGAAGACGGTCTTGCATTCGCCGCACCTGGGAGAAAGCCGCAAGCGCTGCTGGGACCTCGAGCCTCTGAGGCTCGAGGCTGGTCGGTGCTCCTGACCAGAGCCGGCCACCCACGGCACTCGGCACTGCCTCTCCATCCTGGGACAAAAGGTTCTCGCCGCGGTGCTGATCTCTAAGCCCCACGATGCACACAGATGCCCTCTATTGTATTTTCCTTCTTATAAATACTGCGGAGACTCAATGATTCCTTGCCTGTGTTCCAAACACTCTACAGTTTAAAAAACTCAGCCCTAGGTCTTTTCGGGGGGGTCGAGTTTGGGTCTGGGGACACCTACTGAAAATGAATGGATGCTCCCACTGGCTCAGTTTTCCACTCCCACATGGGTTGGAATGGAGGCTTGGTGGAGGCCTCTTTCCATTTAGAGGCTTCTGATAATGAGGGATGACTGAGGACAATCGTTATGGGGCAGAGGCAGTGGCAGGTACTGCCCACCAGGTGCCCACTTTGTGCCCGGCCTTGTGCCAACACTCTAGGCCAGTAACTCACCCAGCCCCTCCTCCACCTGTTTGCAGAGGACAAAACCGAGGTCCTCCCATGCGACTCAAAGGGGCAGCAGCTACCTCTTCTCTCGGAAGATGGGCGGCTCGGGGGAGGCAGGGAGTCCTGTGAGGGCTCGGCTCGTCCCCCTCTCAGTGGCCTCTGGGACTTGCCCCCAACCCAGGGGTGGGAAACAGGGGGGCTGGCAGAGTGTCTGCATACCTGACTGTGGTGTCAAACTCAAAGGGGAAGATGATGTCATGGTGGTGGCAGATCTGGCAAATGAAGCCGCGCTGGGTGCACAGGTCGCAGTGGTAGACATGCTGGGAGGCAAACTCGATCAGGGCCTTGAGGAAGCCTTCGTACACCCCGTCCGCGATCTGTGGAGGGCAAGCGCCGGCCACCAAGGCCTTCTGAGAGGCTGTGCCAGGCCCGAGGCTGTCTGCAAAATGTGGCCTGCTGCTCCTCCTGGCATCCTGCCTGGAGTACTCCTACCCCAAGAGAAGTTTCCTTCCACTTGGGCAAGAAAACCTCCCTAAGTGAGGCCGAGCCACGCAGGCGTGCAGTCCTTCTGCACACAGGAATCCACGGTCCCCTCCCTCGAGGAAAGGAATGTCCCAAACCCTCACCCTCCCTATGCCTTCGCAGCCTGGAAGGGGGCCGAGCCCTGTGATCCTGGGCTTGGCTGTGGTGCCTGCCTGTCTAGTGGGGCCAAGGGCTCAGTTACTGCCCCAGGAAGTGTGGACGGCCAGACACCCATTCTGAGCTGCTGAAAGGCTGAAGATGGGTCGTCCTGCCTCCGTAAACTGCAGGCAGCAGCCCCTGCCCCAACATCTCCCTTTCTGATTTCTCCAGGAATAAGTTTCTAGGAATTAGGTTCCTCTGGGCTTTCCTGGTGACTCAGACAGTAAAGAATCTGCTTGCAGTGTAGGAGACTCGGGTCTCATCCCTGCATCGGGAAGATGCCCTGGAGAAGGGAATGGCAACCCACTCCAGTATTCTTGCCTGGACTTTTTGTGACCCTACGGACAGAGAGCCTGGCAGGCTACAGTCCAAAGCGTTGCAAAGAGTCAGATATGACTGAGCGACCGACACACACCTCAGGGGTGGTGTTCTCACCTGCTGGAGGTCGGCAACACTGTACTTGTGAGGTGACTCCAAGAGATAATTCCTGTGGTTGAGCCTTCAAAGAAAAGACAAGAGGTTCCTCAGAAGGAATCTGGGCCCACCTGTGTTTGTTTTCACTTCCTCCGCGCTGCTAACCAGGGAGAAACAGCTTCAGCCTGGGCTCGGGACCTGGACTTCCAGGTGACCAGCTGTCAGCATCTTGGGCAAGTTCCTAAGCCTTTCTGAACCTCAGGTGTCCTTACCTGAGCAAGAGAGCTCTTTTGGGGATTAAATAATTTATTTAAAGCATTTGGCACAGTGCCTTGTACATAGTAAATGAATAATTATTAACCATAGTTGATAGCATTGTATTGTATAATTGAAATTCAAGAGCAGAACTCAAATGTTCTCTCTCTCACACACACACACACTATATAGGTGGCTCAGATGGTACAGAATCTGCCTGCAATGCGGGAGATGCAAGTTTAATCCCTGGGTCGGGCAGAACCCCTGGAGGAAGAAACGGCAAGCCACTCCAGTATTCCTGCCTGGAGAATTCCATGGATAGAGGAGTCTGGCGGGTTACAGTCCTTAGGGACACAAAGAGTTAGGCATGACTGAGTGACTAACACTTTCACTTTTCATATATACATTATATATAATATGTATAAAATATGTGAGGATGATGGATGTGTGACTTAATAAAATGGGAGGAACTCTTTCACAGTATAATTATATATCAAATCATCACAAAAAAATACTATAAATATCTTACAATTTTGTAAATTTTACTCAATAAAGTTGAAAAAAAAATTTAAAGATTTTTAAAAAATATATTTAAAAAATAATGATGAGGATGATGATGAAAGCTAATGCTTAAAAAAAAAAAAAAAAAAAAAGAAAGCTAATACTTGGAGCCAGGAACTGGACTAAGAGCTTGATATATTAATTCATTTAATTCTCACAAGAATCCTGTGAGGTTGACGCTTTATAACCCTCATTTTGAGAAGAGGAAATGGAGGCACAGAGAAGGTAAAGAACTTGCCTGTGGTCACACAGCTAGTAAGAGGCACAGCTGGAGTCTGAAAGCAGTAGACTGGCTCCAGAGCCTGCATCCTTATCTCCCAGGTGAATGCCTAGAGGCTGTTATTAATAGTTGTCATTACTGCCACCATCACGTACCATGGACAGTGCTGGGACAGAAATGCACAGGATGTGGCCTCTGCCTTCCTACTGTAGCCTTTGGTCTAGCTTGCTGCTGCTGCTGCAAGTCACTTCAGTTGTGTCCGACTCTGTGCGACCCCACAGACGGCAGCCCACCAGGCTCCCCTGTCCCTGGGATTCTCCAGGCAAGAACACTGGAGTGGGTTGCCATTTCCTTCTCCAGTGCATGAAAGTGAAAAGTGAAAGTGAAGTTGCTCAGTCTGTCCAACTCTTAGCCACCCCATGGACTGCAGCCTACCAGGCTCCACCGTCCATGGAATTTTCCAGGCATGAGTACTGGAGTGGGGTGCCACTGCCTCCTCCATGGTCTAGCTTAGGGACAGACATTTAAGCATCTGGTTTTGGCGCTCTGGGAGAGGAGTGGAGGTGTCCTGAGTGCACAGATCCCATTTCAGAGGTAGGGGTGGGGGGCAGAGGACGAGGGCTTAGCTGCCAGCAGCCTGGCTCTAGTTTCCACCTCACCAATAGCAGAGATCCCAAGGGTTACATCCTGAGAGATGGACAGGAAACACCTGCAAAAAATTCCTGCCTGGCCTTGCTGTGTGTCTGTGCGGTAGTGGGGTTGGGGGGAGAATTCTCCCAGTTCGAGGACGTGCGTGAGCCTGCCCCAGGGTGCTCCGGACATTTGGAGGCAGGAAGGTGCCCGAGCCGCGGCATCTGGAGTGGATGCTTGGCTGTGCCCACCCCAGGGCACAGCCCCGGTTCCAGGAGGAACCCCCCGGGGCCGAGATGGCGAGTTCCACCAGGCAGCCCGTGGTGTGCTGCCAAGTGGCCACTCAGTGCAACGTGCCGGTCTCCCCGGGGAACTTCCGGCTTTCTGGGAACCGGAAGCTGCCGTTTATCATCAGGAAAACGCAGGGGGAGGGGCAGAGGGGGCGCACAGGCTGTTCCTGAGCCGGCAGGAAGGGTGGATGGAGAGTCCTCTCTGTCGTCTGCCCTCTGCTCAGTCGTGGAAGCCCAGGGGGCCAGCTAGGCCGCCTACCCTGGGCCTGTGAGGCACTCAGTGAGGCCCTACAGCTGCTGTGGAGGGGAGGTCAGGGCAGCCCCCTGAGAGAAAGGGGATCCCAAGATCTGCCAGTTTCTCCTCAACCCTTCCTGTCCTCTCAGCCTCCACTCCAACCACCTCAGTCCAGGCCTTCTCACCTCCTATGCCAGGTACCACACCAGCCCCCACACCCCGCTGCTGCCAAACTGGTCTTGATGGGAGTGTGACCATCCCATGCTCAAAACTCCTCAACAGCTCCGGCTGCCAGGAGAATAAAATCCTATGCCTTTGTGGTGGCACAGAGGGTCTTCGAGGTCTAGCCCCTGTACCCACAACCTGGCTGCAATGAGCCCTGCGAAGGTCCTGGCAACCCACGCTACCCTCCTGACTCCCCACCCCCACAGCCATGGGTTCCCTGCAGAAAAGCCGGCCCAGGCTTCCTCTGGTTCTTTCGCTAAACCCTGGTTCACCACATGCCATTTGTGTTGGGGTAAGTCCGCTTTCCTGTGAGTGAGGACAGAGTGCGATCTGGAAGCGCTTACAGTACTGACAGTGGCCAGACTGGAGAAGGGTGACTCTAGCTCTCTGCTTGGTTCTCTTTAATACTACCTGAATACTATCTTTGTAAAGAAGAAAAGCATTTTTTTTTTTCTTTTTAAAAGGAAAAAGAAAACTCCACAAACCTTCAGCTGATGCCACCTCCTCCAAGAAGCTCCCCTGGCCCGCTGCACCCTGCCTCCTTCCCTCACAGCACACGTCTCCCTGACCCAGGGCCATCTGTTCACCTGTCTCTGTCCCTTCTTGGACACTGGGCCCCTCATGTGGCCCTCACCACAACTCCGGCAGGTCACATGAACATGGGGATCACTGGCCCATTTTATAGACAAGAAAACTGAGGCTCAGAGAAGTGAAGCCACTTCCTTGAGTCACACAGCAAGTCTGGGGCCAGGTGAAGGCTGCTCCTGAGCTCTTTCTTCACCTTATGCTGCTTCTGAAATGGGACTTCTGCAGGTCTGGTCCTGCTTTCATGAAGGCTGGAAACAGCAGCCAGAGAGAAAGAGGCAAGACCGCCCCCAGTGCCCCAACAGGGCAACCTGGACAGGCCAGTAAGGCTGCTGACCAATCTCAGCAGGGGAGGGATGGGCAAGTGAGGCTGGCACCCAGGACCCACCCTACAGGCAGCAGGTCTACTCAGGTCTGCAGACATCCCTGAACTGAAGAGGGACGCAAGGTCCCACCTGACCTGAGATTTCATCACCCTGGACAGGGGGGCAGGAGGGCAGACTCTGGGGCCCTGGGTCCTGGAATCTCAGAAAGGGGGAGTGAGTGGGACCCAGGAGCCACTGATGATGGAGACAGCAATAGCCTCCCCAGAAGCAGCCATCTGGGTCCCTCATGGTGGCCTCCAGAGGGCTTTCTGCTCTTCCAGGCCCTGTGGAGGAGACCAGGGATCAGCCAGCTGCTCTGAGAGCCTGTGACGGGTCAGCCTCTGTGCTTTGCCTAAGAGAGGGCTCCCCACAGCACCTCTCAGATGCAGAGCAGCCCTGGGAGGACAGGGACCAGGATTGAGCAGGGGAGCCCAGCAGACAGGGGGTCTGCACCAGCCCTGTCGGGAGGCTGCACAGGGAACATGGAGGGGCTTGTGAGCTGCTCCAAGTCCCCAGAAACCAGCAATGAAGCCTAGCTGGGCAGCAGGCACCAGCTCGTGCACCCGAGGTCTGTCCTTCTAGGGCCCCAGGACAGCATAGCCCCACAGAAGGTGTCACTCCTCACCCCCAACTGAGCACTGAAAGTCCCCCCAGGCACTGGGTACCAAGCAGCTTTGTGAAGGGCATCCTGAGGGTCCCGCCCCAACCTCGTCCCCTTGCAAGGATTTGGGGAGGGCTGCTGCCAGGGCGGCAAAGTCAAGCCGCCATGCGGCAGAGGGCTGATGGGAACCCGGGGAGCCAGGAGACCAGCCCCTCTCACGTCTCTGGCCTCCTCTCACACATCCCCACTTCCCTTCTCACTGCCTGAAAATTTCTCCCTGTTCTTTCCACACACGGGGCCTTCATCCACAGCCCATACACATCACTACTTCTGTCTGGAACACTCTTTCCTGCAAATCCCCTCTTTCCCTTTCATTTCTCAGGTCTCACACTGGAGGTCAGTTCTTCCAGGAAGCCCCCCACCATCGGCCCCCTCCAATATGGGTCAGACCCCCCACTCCGCTGTACTTCCAAGGGCGTCCTGCTCTCTCCTCCGCCCTCACTCCTGGGGGTAGCCGCGGCCCTGCTCCCTGCCGTGCCCTCCAGAGGGCAGAACCCAAGTCCACCGTGCTCAGCCCTGGGGCCCACACCCCTCGCCGGGCACTGAGCGCGTTCTCAATAAGCACTTGTCAAATGAATGAATGCATTACACACATAAATAAAAGCCACTCCTAAATGCAGAGAGGCAGTCCTCCACCCCAGCCCTGGCATTTCTCCCAAGTTGCTTGTGCACTGACCCTGTGTGTAGTATATGTGTGTCTGTGTATGTGTCTGTATCTGTGTGTATGTCTGTGTGTCTATATCTGTGTGTGTGTGTCTGTGTGTGTCTGTATCTGTGTGTGTGTCTGTATGTCTGTATCTGTGTGTATCTGTATCTCTGTGTCTGTGTGTGTCTGTATCTGTGTGTGTCTCTGTGTGTCTGTATCTCTGTGTCTGTGTGTCTGTCTCTGTGTGTGTGTGTGTGTGTGTCTGTGTGTCTGTCTGTATCTCTGTCTGTGTGTGTGTGTGTGTCTCTGGGTCTGTATCTCTGTGTCTGTCTGTCTGTCTGTGTGTGTATGTGTGTGTGTGTCTGTCTGTCTGTGTGTCCGTGTGTCTGTCTGTGTGTCCGTGTGTCTGTCTGTCTGTCTGCGTCCCCGCGTCCGGCGCCCACCTCTTGCTCAGCTCCTTCAGGGCTCCGCTCCGGCACAGGCCCAGGTAGTCCCCCAGCAGCTTCAGCTGCTCCCGGCTCCTCCCGATGAGGCGCATCTGCTCCACGTGCTCGTACAGCGACGCGTTCACCAGCTGCAGGTTGATGAGGGGCTGGGCCCGGATCTGTGTCAGGAACCTCAGGGCCTGCCTGCAGACCTGAGGGTACCATGGGGCGGCGAGGGAGAGACAGGAGGGCCATCTGGTGAGCGCCTGAGGTCGCCAGGCGCTGGGTCACCTACTCCCTCACTCACCCCTCCAGCCACCTGACGAGGGAAGCGGTACCATCTTCATTTTACAGATGAGGAAACTGAGGTTCAGAGAGAGGAAGTGACTTGGCCAGGGCCCACAGCTCAGATAAGTCAGGATTCAAACCCAGTTGATCTGGCTTCCAAACCCGCTCTTCCCCTTTGGCACCAGCGGCTGCCCCTCCCTGACCACGCGGGGACGGGAAGGAGGGTCCACACGCCTCTCTGCCTGGGCCTCACAGATCCTTTCCACTATTTCCTGGCCTCCCCACCCCCACCCCCATTTTTCTGCCGAAAGGAAACAGACATTACCCTGGGCCGACTCAGGAACCAGGTGACCGATCTGAGTCAGGCTTCAACCACAGGAAACCATGGATCAGATACAGCTGAACCAGAGGTTTCCCGAGCTTCTTCCGTCCTCACTAACAGCACCAACCAGGGCAGGGCCTCCTCCAAGTCTCCATATGGAGCTGAGTGATCAATCTGGGCTTCTCCCACTTGATAGACGTGGAAGGTTCTACCCTCAGCCCTGACCCTAACGCCAATTACTGAGCACCTATAATTTGCCAGGCACTGGGCTAAAGACCTCGACCACATCCTTTTCTTCATCCTCACAACAACCCAGAGGGGAAAGTGTCATCATCCCCATTTTACAGATATGGAAACTGAGACTCAGAGGAGCTAAAGTGACTTATCCAAGCCACCAGAAAGAAAGCAGAGCCCAGGTCTGAGTTGAGTGCTATCTCTGCACCCTTGGCCTCCTCACTTACAAAGAGAAGTCCCTTTCCCTGCAGTCTCTTTGGGGAGGATAAGGATGGAGGAGCTGAGATGTTCTCCACCATCAATCACCCTACAGTGCTTAGTCCGGCTTTGGATCCTGGCTCCACCCCTTCTCAACTGTATGACCTCAAGAAACTTACTTAACCTCTCTGTGATTCAGTTTTCTCATCTGTAAAATGGGGGAAAGAAAAGCACCTACATCATGGGATTGAGTTTAGATTAAAAGAAAATCCAGGTAAGTAGCTTCTCTGTGAATGGGAGCTGCCATCAGACTCTGTGGGTGTCTGTGTGGTTCAGGCGTCTGTCCACTGGCTCCGGGGGATGGGACAGGGCCAACAGGAGACTGTTAGGCCAGGGGCTGCTCTACCGGCTTCACCAGCATTTCTCACCTCACTGATATCTCCATCTTTCCCCATTTCCCAGAGCCCTGAGGAACCAGCCCCCAGCCGACAGGCATCCCACCACTGGCAAAGGCCTGGTGAGTCACTGACTCAGGTCAGACTGCTGTTGCCCGGCCCTTCCCACAACTCAGCTCCAGGCTTAGGGTGAGGCCAAGATGAAATAACATGCAGGAATGCATGCTGAAAACTGCCAAGTACACAGACAGGCATGAGCTTTGAGCTTTCCTGGGACTGTTCCTCCCCCACGGGTGGAGGAGACAGACAACGGGAGAAGCTGCAGGCGGGGGCTGACATCCTGCCAAGTACCAGCCAGGCCTTGCACAAGTGGGTCAGCCAGACAGTGGACAAGGGACCCCAAACCTGCCAGCCAGCCACTTCCTATTCTGAACCTTCCTGTCCCAGGTCTGGCATCTTTGAGAGAGTTGGATGCTTCCTGACCTTAGGTATGCCGAGGGAATTGTTAGAATTTTCTAGTTGGAAAAAGGAAGTGGCACCAAAATTAACAGCAGTGAATAGGGAGATGGCTCAACAGGGACATCCGGATGTTGTAAATGGTGAGAGTGTTTTATGACCAGAGGGTTCTTTGCATTTGTGGTCATCTTGAGGTTTAATTTTCTCCATGTAGTTAGTTAAATACTTAACACTGAGGGCAGGGGTAAGGATGAAGTAACCAATAAAAAAGCCAAAGTGATGCTAATGTTGGGACTTCTCTAAGCTAATGTGGCCCAGTGGTTAAGATTCTGGGCTTCCAATGCAGGGGGTGCAGGTTCAATCCCTGGTGGGGAAACGAAGATCCCATATGCAACATGGCCAAGAAAAGAGAAAGAGAACCAGAGGGAAGCTAATAGGTGTTCCCATCCCCAGGGGTGGAGGTCAGGGTGGTACCGGGTCTGAGGATTATGTTCTCTGGGCTCTGATGGGGACACATGAGGAGACAGCATGGCTGGCAGGCCTGGGTCTCGAGAGAAGTCAACAGCTACTTCCTCTGTTTCTGTGTCTTGTCTTAGGAGAAACCTGTGCCTTTGGGAGAAAGCCGAGTCTGCACCCCTTGAGGCAGACTCTGACCGAATGAATTAGGGGCAGAAGGTGAGGCCTTAGGAAAGGGAAGGGGCACCATCTAAGTGACTGGTGGTTCTGTTTCCTTTAGCCCTCACTGCCTGGTGACAGGCACTGTAATTAACCCCTCTTCATGGAGAAGGAAACGGGAAGTGGAAGAGTTTGCTCGGGGTAACACAGCTATGTAAGCAGATAAGCTCAGCTGAAGAAGAGGAAAATCTGGAAGACTGCAGAATACATCATATTTAAAAGCATTTGGTGAACATCAAAAAGTATCCAAGATGTAATCCTAACTGAACAAACATGTTATAAAGCAGTATGAGCCCAGTATGATTCCAAAGGTAACGAAAAGTAGATGCCTGTATGCCTGGAAAAGGTTGACTGCTCCCAGGGGGAAGTGTGCCAGCTGGCTGGCCAATTCATCCATCCATCTATCCATCATCTACTCATCCATCCATCCATCTACCATCCATCCATCCATTATTTAACCATCTGTATATTCATCCATCCACCCATCTATACATTCATCCACATATCTATCCATCCATCCATTCACATCCATCCACCAAGCCACCCCTCAACCCATGCATGCAACTACCCACCTAACCCATCCACCCATCCTCTATATCTAATCTATTCTATCATTTCTGCCTATCTATCTATGCTGGTGCTCAAGCAGTTTTATCTGTGCCCATGGAGAGCTACAGTGAACCATCCTGATTCCCACCTGAAGGCCAAGGCAGGCGTGGACAGAGCTCTGCCCAGATGCTGCAGACCAGCACCAAATTACTTTTTGGGTCAGCTCCCCAACATCATGGGGCCTAAACTAGTGACCCTGGCTTCTCTAGAGCCAAACTCCCCCAAACATATGAACGGCAGCAGCAAAGAGGAGCAACCACTTCTCTGTCGCTCAGCAGCCCTGTATGGCCATGACAGGCTGGGCTCAAGACTTACCAGGCGCTTGGTGAGGTCCCAGTTGTGGATGATCCTGGCCGGGATCACTGAGGCATCGTCTTGATGGCAGATGTCACAGTAATAGAGGCCAGAGAAGGCACAGAGCTTGGGTCGTACAAATGAGAAGCCAATCTGCCGGGAGCAGCCTGGGGAGAGGAGCAGAGGGAGGGTGAGCAGCGGTGGGGCCAGAGTCAGCTCCTGAGCCACAGAGCAGCTGCCAAGGTGAAGGGCCTGCTAGCTAGGGAAAGCAGCCAGATTAGAAAGGAGAGCGTGAAGATAACAACTGCCATTCATATTCCCACCAATCATAACCAACTCTGGTAATTAACCTTTACGACAAAACTCTGTTAAGAATTATTGTCACTGTTTCCCAGCTGAAGAAACTGATGCAGAGAGGTTAGGAAACATGCCCAGTCACACCACAACTGGGTGCACAGATGGGTCAGGTTGGAGCACAGCCCGCATTCTCTTATTCCTAACTGCCTCTGTTCGATGTTTCCACCAGCCGCCGCCAGGCTCACCCACCCCTCCACCAGGGCCCAGGAATGGAAGCAGGGAGTCAGGATCTCGGCAAGGAGGACAGGAGCTGGGGAAACAGGGCTGGACACAGGGAGCCAGAGGGGAAGCCACCTGGAGATGGTGGACATGGTCTGGTGCCAGCTTGAAGCCAGGGCCTGTTACCTCAGGATAGGGTGCAGGGCCCAGCTTCAGCCCCTCTGCTGAAGCCCTCCAAAGCAGGGGGCAGAGGGGATGAAAGTAGGGTGTGCCCAGGGCACCAGAGGCAGGGCTGAAATCCTGAGCACAGGCCCTGCCTCCTACAGGGCCAGGAGTCGTCCCTTCAGCCTCCTGGAGACTAGAAGGGCTGGTTCTTTGGTGTATAGCTGTCTCATCCTGACCCTCACTGAATTTTTGCAAGGTTCCAATTCAGCTACTATTTGCTACTTTGTGGGGGTTATTACAAAGTTTAAATGAGGTTTTTGAAAGTAAACTATGAGATACAAGCCAGATGTCAGAGGCTGGTGGCCCCTCCACAGAGCTCTGTGGGCAGAAAGAAGGCCCAAGCTCCCCAGTTTCAGTCTGGCTGGCTGGGGGCTGGCGGGGGTGGGGGGAATAGTGGTGGCAGGGGTGGGGAGAGCTGCCTGCTAGCATCCACATCCCCAGTGGGGAAGCCCTCCTCCTAGCCCTGGGGGCCTGGCCTCCTCTCTGAACCTGAAGCCCGTGGGTTAAAGGGCAAAGTGTGAGTGTTAGGGGCTGGCACGTGGGGGAGGGGGGCAAGGGGTGAACAGGGGCTTGAAGACTTTTCTGCAAGAAGCTCTGCTCTGCATAGCGTCTCCATCCTCCGGGGGTGGGGGGAGGGGGACCAACCGCAGACCACTTCCTTCAGATGCCTGAAGCAGGCTTTCCCCTCCAGTCCCACATGCTCCACCCTGACGGGACGGCTCCTAGACCGTGCACAGCTGCGTCTCCCCATGCAGCAGGGCCACCTCCTCACAGCTCAGCTGGAGGGCCCGGGCTGAAGGAGATGGGTGTCTGGACTGAGGAGAAGACCTAGAAATGGGAGGTGAGCAAGGGAGTATCACGCGGCCTTAAAAGCATGGGAGTGGAGAGGCCCTGTGGACGTCTGGCTAAGAGCACAGGTTCTGGGACCACTAAGTCCTCTTCCGGATCCACCATCACTTGCTGTGTGAACCTGAGACAGGTACTTACCAGTCCTGTGACTCAGTTTCCTCAGCTATAAATAGAGACAAATCCCAAGGGGGTTGTTGTGAGGATTAAACGAGACAATCCAGGGAACAGGTGTAAATCCATGGCTGATTCATGTCAATGTATGGCAAAAACCACTACAATATTGTAAAGTAATTAGCTTCCAACTAATAAAAATAAATGAAAAAAAAAAATAGATGAGACAATCCAAAGAAAGCATCTGGCCCAGTGCCTGGCATGGAAGGACTGGATCTGATGATGCTAATGACAGAGAGGATGTATTGATGTAGAAGAACATGCATAACATATTCCTAACTGGATTAAAGCCAAGCTGCAGAACAATAGATATAGCTGAGCTGTCTAAAGTCATGGCCACAAGCCACAGGTGCCCATTTATTTATTTATTTTTAAAATATTTTATTTTATTTAATATTTACTTGTTTTTTTAAATTTTTTGCTGCATTGGGTGTTCATTGCGGCCCACAGGCTTTCTCTAATTGCTATGCCCCGGCTTCTCACTGCCTGTGGAGCACAGGCTCTAGGTGCTGTGGGCTTCAGTAGTTGCGGTGCACGGGCTTAGTTGCCCCTCAGCATGTGGAATCTTCCTGGACCAGGGATTGAACCCATGTCCCCTGCACTGGCAGGCAGACTCTTTCCCACTGGACCACCAGGGAAGTCCCACAGGTGCCCATTTAAACATATTATTAAAAAAGATTTCCCAGGTGGCTCAGTGGTAAAGAATCTGCCTGCCAATGTAGGAGACCCAGGAGATGTTGGTTCGACCCCTGGGTCAAGAAGATCCCCTGGAGGAGGAAATGGCAACCCACTTCAGTATTCTTGCCTGGGAAATTCCATGGACAGAGGAGACTGGTAGGTTTCAGTCCACGGGATTGCAGAGTCGGACACGACTGAGCATGCACACACACATATTATTAAAACCAAATGAAAATTCAGTTCCTTCCACACTAGGAAGCCACACGAAGTATTCAGTAGTCACACGTGGCTTGTAGCTACACTATTGGATGGCACAGATTCTAGAACATTGTCATCGTCACAGAAAGTTCTATTGGCCAGCATGTAGTACGAGTCTATTTTTGTAATTAAATACCTGTGTATACTTGTAAAAGCATGCAAAAATACTTGAAGCCCTGGCTCCAGAAGAATATAATATGATCATGGAACAGCTTAATTTGCTGCAACATCCCCGGGGCAGTGTGGGGGCACCTGTGGGGAGCAGGAAGGAGTGAGGGTACTGGATGGTCACCCACTCCTCCTCCTGCTGGGGCCGGCACTTCTGCAGTGCCTCGCGCACCCGGTCCAGCCAGTCCTCGGCTTCATCCCGGGACGAGGCACGCAGGGTCAGCTTCTTGCCAGAGAAGAGCAGCTCGAAGCGGCCGTCGCTGTGGGCCGGCCCCACGGACTCACAGCGCAGCAGCGAGCAGGTCTCCACGCAGGTGCGCTCCCTGCCGCTCAGGTAGAGGCGCAACTCCAGCGGGGACAGCTCGCAGAAGAGTTCCTTCCACATGCCCATGGCCCCCCGCCGCTCCACCGTGCCCAGCTTCAGGAGACCCCGGAATGGGTTGGACAGCCCTGTGGGCAGAAAGAAGGCCCAAGCTCCCCAGTTNCCTTCTGTTCTTTCTTGAACCTCCTCTGAGCAGCCTTCTCTCCCGAGTCCACAGAATTTGCCCTTGGGAAAGCTACCAGGCCTGCCTTGTTGCCAAGTCCTAAGGCTAGTCGTTGGTCCCCATCTGGCCTGGCCCATCAGCATCACTGCACACAGCAGAGCCCCCTCTTTCCTGGGGTCTTCTCTGCCGTCACTGGCCCCCCTCTCCCGTCTCCCGGATGCTCCCTCCTCTCACTGGCCTGTTTATGGAGGCCCTGGACTCGGCCCTGGTTCTCTTCTCTACTAATACCCACTTTTCCTAGCTGATCTTCCCTGGTCTTGGGTCTTTATGCCAACAACTCCTCAGTTTTTATCTCCAGCCTGGACCTCGCCCTTGAGCTTTAGATTCTGATCTCCATATGCTCCGTGTATGTCTAATAGGCTTCTCAAAGTTGACATGTCCAAAAACGTGTTCCTGATTCTCCCACTCCAAACCCACTTCTCTCCTGATGTTCTTCATCTAGTAAAATGGCAAACTTCATCCTCCCAGATGCTTAGGCTAAAAAGTTTGGAGCTGCCCTTTATTTTTTTTTTCCTTTCACACCCGACATCTAATCTATCAGCAAATCCTCTTGGTATACCCAGAGCCTCCCTCCACTTCTCACCGCCTCCACCACTACCTCAGGGGCTTGGTCCACCATCATTCCTGGTCGGGCTTACGGCTGTGGCCTCCTGACTGGTCCATGTCCCCCTGAAGCCCCTCAAGAAATGAGCCAGGATGACTCCCCCGGAGAGTCCCCCAAATCAGATCACATCTCTCTCAGAGCAAAAGCCAACATCCTCACTGTGGCCCACGAAGCGCCCCATCACTCTGACATCATCTCTAGCCACCACCTTCCCATCACCTCTGTTCCAGCTACTATGGTCTCTGCTGCTTACTGGACACATCAAGCATGTTCCTGTCACAGGGCCTTTGCACACATTCTCCCTGCTTGAAATACAACGATTGCCTTGTGCCTCTCTCCCCACCTTTCAAGTCTCCTCAAATGTCACCTAATTTGTGAGGGCTTCCTTGGCCAGCCTTTATTTATTTATTTACTCTCTGGCTGTGCTATGCAGCTTGCAGGATCTTCATTCCCTGAACAGGGATTGAACATGGGCCCCAGCGGTGGAAGTGTAGAGTCCTAACCATTGGACCATGAGGGAAGTCCCTGGCCATCCTTTATGAAATAGTACCCTGCCCGCCTCCCCAGTTTACTATTCCCCACAGGAATGATCACCTGCCCCCACTATATGTTTACTTGTTCATCTGCTTATTTCCTGTCTCTCACGCTAGAATACAACTCCCATGAAGATAAGGACCGGGCTTCATTTCCTGTTGTGTCCCCAGCACCTAGAATAGTACCTGGCACATCGCAGGTGCCCAATAAGTATCTGTTGAGCAGATACTCTGTGTGTACCACACAGAGCCCAAGGCTCCCTGATCCCTGGGGGCTAGCCACGTTCCTGAACAAGGGGGTCCAAAGGACACACAATTCTCTATCCCAGCTTGGACGAGCCTTAGAGATTTCAAACCATTGTGTAGGGTCTTCCTATCCTTCCATACCTGATGATGCAGGCATAAAGCACACCTTCTCTGGTATGGTTGTAACCATCACATGGGCTGAAAGAAAAACCTCGGAGGAGGTGGCATGGAAACCACAGCTGTGCCCAGACTCCCTGAGCCAGGGCCCCAGAAACCCAGCCAGCATTCTCTGCTGGGCCACTGCAAACAGAATGAGGAAACAGACGGACTGGGGACACACTTGCACATTTGTCTGTTTCTGAGGGTTACAGAGAAATTAGGTTATGGTTAGTTAATGCTTTATGGAATTTCACAGGGTGTGGAGGCCAAGCTGGCCTCCTTGGGAACTGCACACAGAGGACATCGAACAGACTGCAGATCTGATCAACCCCACCAGAGCTGCTAAATAAACTGTCTGAGAGAAAGGCCTTAGGAAGGAGCAGTGGAAACATCTGAGCCTTCCAGAGGCGGGGCTTTCGTTCTGGGCTCCAGACAAGAGCCCAGAGGCCTGTATGCTCCTAAGATTATCTCATGTATCTTACATATAATCTTACATATAATCATTAAGATTTGGAAAAAAAATCATTAGGATTTTTTTTTTCATTAAGATTTATACAAGAGTTTCAGGGAAGTTATTTTCCATTTCTGTATATTAAACAGTATTCGTGTTCTCTGTAGGCAGTTTTGAGCATTACTTTCTTAAGAGTGGATGTATGTATCTGTGTGGCTGATTCACTGATTCACTTTGCGGTACACCTGAAACTAACACAACATAGTAAATCAACTATATTCCACTAAAAATTTAAAAAAAGATTTTATGAGAAAAGACAGTGCTCTTTCCGAAATGCCTTCCTGAATTACTCTGCAAGGGTGCTCCTTATTACATTTTGGGATGAGGTTTTTTATGGGAGAAGATACTGCCCAAACGGTAACACAAACCAGGATTTTCAAACTGCTCTCTGAAAGGCACTGCTCATGCGCAGTGCGGCACCCAGACACCCGCAGAGCTGCCTACCCATCTGCCGTCGATGCACCACCCTGAAGTTCCTGTGTTCCGGCGGCGCCGGGGCAGCCCTGCTTCTCCCACTTCCTGGGGAAGGCGCGCAAGCTTTGTCTAAGGCCTCCATGGAGCAGCTTCGTCTTGGTTCTTGCACCAGGAGGTCAGGCCTTGACTCGGGAATCCCTCCGGGAGAAGCTGTGGCGGCATCAGGAGGACTGTCTGTGGGCTGTTCCCGGGGAGGCCGGTAGAAGTCATCTTCTGAGATCCAGCTCTTGCTTTTCTATTAGGAAAGAAGGAAAGGCAAGTTTGTTTGTTTTTAAAAACACCTTTATTGAGACACGATTCACATCATAAAATTAAACCAGTTAAAGTGTATAATTCAGGGACTTCCCTGGCAGTCCAGTGGTTACGACTGCTGCCCTTCCACTATAGGGGGAGTGGATTCCATCCCTGATTGGGGAACTAAGATCTAGCATGATGTGACCAAAAAAAAAAAAAAAAAAAAAGTGTAATTCGTTAGTTTTAGCATATTCATGGAGTTGTGCAACCATCACCACAATCCATGTTCAGAACATTTTCATTGTTCCATAAGGAAACCCCATCAGCAGCCACTCCCTGTTTCCCCTCAACCACTGCAGTTCCAGGCAATCAATAATCTACTTTCTGTTTCCATGTATGAGGGCTCAGTGTGTCCAACTCTTTGTGACCCCAGGAACTGCAGCCCACCAGGCTCCTCTGTCCATGGGATTCTCCAGGCAAGAATACTGGAGTGACTTGCCATTTCCTCCTCCAGGGGATCTTCCTAAGCCAGGGATCAAACTCACCTTTCTTGTGTCTCTGCATTGCAGACAGATTCTTTACCCCTGTGCCACCTGGGAAACCCCCTCTGTTTCCTTAGGTTTGCCCATTTTGAATATGTATAAATGAAATTTTACAACATGTGGTCTTTTGAAACTGGTTTCTTTCCCTAAGCATGATGTTTTCAAGGTTTATCCATGTCCTGGCATGTATCATTACTTCATGGCTTTTTATTACCAAGTAATATTCCAATTATGGATTTATCATGTTTTATATATCCACTTCTCAGAAGATGGACATATGAGTAGTTTTCTACTTTTTGGCAATTATGAATAATGCTGCAGAGAACTTTGATATACAAGTTTTTCTGTGGACACATGTTTTCTATTCTCTTGGTACACACCTAGGAGTGGAATTGATGGATAATATGATAACAAAAAAAATCTTAATGACCCAGATAACCACGATGGTGTGATCACACACCTAGAGCCAGACATCCTGGAATGCGAAGTCAAGTGGGCCTTAGGAAGCATCACTAAAACAAAGCTAGTGGAGGTGATGGAATTCCAGCTGAGTTATTTCAAATCATAAAAGATGATGCTGTGAAAGTGCTGCAGTCAATATGCCAGCAAATTTGGAAAACTCAGCAGTGGCCACAGGACTGGGAAANTTTATTTTCTTGGGCTCCAAAATCACTGCAGATGGCAAATGCAGCCATGAAATTAAAAGACACTGCTCCTTGAAAGAAAAGCTATGACCAACCTAGACAGCATATTAAAAAGCAGAGACATTACTTTGCCAGCAAAGGTCCATCTAGTCAAAGCTATGGTTTTTCTAGTAGCCATGTATGGATGTGAGAGTTGGACCATAAAGAAAGCAAGAAAGCTGAGTGCCAAAGAATGAATGCTTTTGAACTGTGGTGTTGGAGGAGACTCCTGAGAGTCCCTTGGAAGGCAAGGAGATCCAACCAGTCAATCCTAAAGGAAATCAAGCCTGAATATTCATTGGAAGGATTGATGCTGAAGCTGAAGCTCCAATACTTTGGCCACCTGATGCGAAGAAATGACTCATTAGAAAAGACCCTGATGCTAGGAAAGATTGAAGGTGGGAGGAGAGGGGATGACAGAGGATGGGATGGTTGAATGGCATCACAGACTCAATGGACATGAGTTTGAGCAAGCTCTGGGAGTTGGTGATAGACAGGGAAGCCTGGCATGCTGCAGTCCGTGAGGTCACAGAGTTGGACACAACTAAGCAACTGAACTCAACTGATGATAACTACGTCTAACATTTGAGGAATTTCCAAACTGTTTTCCTAAGTGGCTGTACCATTTTACCTTCCCACAGCAATGTATGAGGGTTCCAATTTTTCCACATCTTCTCCATCATTATTATCTGTACTTTTGATTATAGTCAGATGTATGTATGGCTAGAATATGAAGTGCAAACTTACAGTTTTGATTTGCATTTCTCTGATGTGTAAAAACACTGGGCATGTTTTCATATGCTTACTGGTCATTTGTATATTTTCTTTGGAGAAAGGTCTATTCAAATCCTTTGCCGATTTTCAAATTGGTTTATTTGTTCTTTTGTCATGTTATGGGTTGAATTGTGTGTGTCCCCCCCACAACCCTGCAAACGATATGCTGGAATCCTACCCTAGGATAGGGTACCCCAGTACCCTAGAATGTGACCTGATTTGAAAGCAGAGTTGTTGCAAATGTGTTAAGATGAGGTCATACTGGGGTGTGGTGGGCCCTTCATCCAATGTGACCGATCTACTTACAAGAGGAGTAAAGAGAACACTCAGAGGACACCAAGCGAAGCCAGAGAGACAGAGGGAGAACCCCGTGTGATGAGAGGCAGGGCCTGCAGTGATGCATCTACGAGTCAGGGAATGCCCAAGGCTGCTGGTGACGCTCCAAGATGAGAGAAAGGCGTGGAACAGATTCTTCCTCAGAATCTCCAGAAGGAACCAACCCTGCCAGTATCTGGACTGTGAACTTCTGGCCTCCAGAACCATCAGATATACCAGTTCCCCCTTATCTATGGTTTCAGTTACCCACAGCCAACTATATTTTCCACAAAAACATTAAGTGGAAAATTCCAGAAATAAACAGTTCACAAGTTTTGCACTGTGACCATTCTGGGTAGTGCGATGAAATCTCTCATCGTCCTTCTCCATCCTGCCTGGGACGTGAATCACGCCTTTGTCCCACCATTAGTCACTTTGTCAGTAGCCCTCTTGGTTACCAGATGGCCCGTTGTGGTATCGCGGTGCTTGTCTTCATGGAACCCTGATTTACTTAATAACGGCCCCAAAGCATAAGACGAGTGATGCTGGCAATTCGGATCTGCCAGAGAAGTCGTAAAGTACTTTCTTTAACACAGTAAAAGTTCTCGACTAAACAAGGAAAGAAAGAAATGATATTCAAAGGTTGTTAAGATCTACGGTAAGAAAGAGTCTTCTATCTGTGAGATTATGAAGAAGGAAAAACAAACTGTGCCAGCTTTGCTGCTGCACCTCAAACTACAGAAGTTATACCCACAGCACGTGAATAAGTGCTTAAAGTTAAGATGGAAAAGGTATTACATTGGTACAGTAAGATACTGGGGGGGCTGAGAGGTCACAGTCACATAACTTTAGGTTTTTTGGTCACCAGGCATGTGGGACCTTAGCCTCCCAACCAGGGATTGAACCTGCACCCCCTGCGTTGGAAGGTGAAATCCTAAGCACTGGACCACTAGGGATGTCCCTTACTGTGCCTAATTTAGAAATTAAACTTTATCACTGGTATGTATGTATGGGAAAAAATATAGTATATGTAGGGTTTGGTACTATCCACAGCTTCAGGCATCCACTGGGGATCTTAGAACATATCCCTGTGGATTCCCCTGGTGGCTCAGACGGTAAAGTGTTTGCCTACAATGCAGGAGACCCAGGTTCAATCCCTGGGTCGGGAAGATCTCCTGGAGAAGGAAGTGGCAACCCACTCCAGTATTCTTGCCTGGAAAATCCCATGGACGTTGGAACCTGGTAGGCTACAGTCCTTGGGGTCTCAAAGAGTCGGACATGACTGAGTGACTTCACACACTATAATACATTTCTGTGGTTGCAAGCCATCCAGTTTATAGTCCTTTGTTACAGAAGCTGCTGCTGCTGCTAAGTCGCTTCAGTCGTATCAGACTCTGTGAGACCCCAGAGACGGCAGCCCACCAGGCTCCCCTGTCCCTGGGATTCTCCAGGCAAGAACACTGGAGTGGGTTGCCATTTCCTTCTCCAATGCATGAAAGTGAAAAGTGAAGTGAAGTCGCTCAGTCGTGTCCGACTCTTAGTGACCCCATGGACTGCAACCTCCCAGGCTCCTCTGTCCATGGGATTTTCCAGGCAAGAGTACTGGAGTGGGGTGCCATTGCCTTCTCCGGTTACAGAAGCCCTAGGAAGCAAATACAAGTTGCAAGGTTTCTTCATAAGTTCGGGATACTAGGCCCATATCAGATATATGCTCTGCAAGTCTTTTCTCCAGTTCTGTGTGTTACCTTTTAACTTTTTTGATAGTGCCCTTTAAGGCTTCCCTGGTGACTCAGAGATTAAAGCATCTGCCTGCAATGCGGGAGACCTGGGTTCGATCCCTGGGTCGGGAAGATCCCCTGGAGAAGAGAATGGCAGCCTGCGTGCAGCAACGAAAGGATTCCACGTGCTGTGACTAGGACTCAATGCAGCCAAAAAAATATATACATAAACATTGAAAAAAAGAAATGATTGCCTAAGCCAAGGTTACAAAGGCTTACTCCTATGTTTTCTGCAAAGAACTTTACAGTTTTAGCTTTAATGCCTAGATCTATGATCGACTTTGAGTTAATTTTTGTATATGGTGTGAGGAAAGGATCCACCTTTATGCACATGGATAGGATATTCAGTTGTCCCAGCACCATTTGTTAAAGGGATGTTGAATTTTTCAGCGCTGCTTGTAGGGTTTGAGATGGAGGAGGCATGGGCAGGTAAGACCCAGAGATATCACTAGCTCCTCTGCCACTGCTTCCCATTTCTGAGCAGGTCCCCAAGGCTCCAGGCAGCCAGGCCATGCCCCTTCCCTTCTGCTGCTATCTCCCTGAATCTGATGCTGCTCCCTGGGCTGAGGGAAGTGCAGTGGGGGTCAGGAGGCTTGTGGGAATGAATTCTGGCTCTTTTTCTTCACTATTTCAAGTGCTCCCTGTCTTTTTGTGCCTAAGCATCATGGGAGAGCAGAGGCAAGGAAGCTGGCTGGATGCCCTTGGTGGCTGCCTACACAGAGGAAATGAGTCACCCAAGGGCTGCGACCAGCCCAGCTGTCATGTTAAGTGCCAGAAACCTCACCCTGATGTTGCTATTTCCAACCCCTATATTAAGACTGCCCTCCCCACTCCCACAGACAGGGAAGGGGAGCAGGGCTGGAGCTGCCCAGAATGTCAGAAGGATTGGTTTGAACAGCTTAATCCATT